TTAATATAAAATAATACTTCAGTGAAGTCATGTGGCTAGGAATTGAGAGCTCTGTTCCTCATAATCATTACGCATATGAGAGTTATAAGGTTTTGAAGTATGTTAGAATTTCTTCATATGTATTAAAAAGCATATAAAACCGATGAATTCAACATAAAATAGCTCCCTTGTATTTGTTCATTCCTTTATCTTAGAAAATCCAAAATTAATTATGTTATAGCCATTATCGTTATATGAAATAAAGTTGTCATTATATTTCATTTGAAAAAACAGCTAGATTAGGAAATAATCAACTATTAAAATTTGTCCCGAAACTTAAGTTGGAATTTCATGTCATTTTTCGTCTATCAGTATATAGAAATTAGTAATTTCCATTAAATTACAATTACTAAAATTTCAACCAAGATTTTAGCCAGCATGAAAGTCATCATTTTATTAATGTTAATTAATTAAAAAGTATTTGCAAAGCTGGCGGATAAAAAACTAATGCTGAAAAAAATTTTTTATTGTAAAGGAATTTCTTTAAGCTTCCATGCATCTTCCACCTCCATATTTTCTTCGTCCATTATTTCACCTTCTTCAGGTTCTTCTTCCTCATGGCCATTAGTCTGACCATTTGTATTGGTAACAGCGGTAATATTTACTTGTGGTTGTGCCTGATTCTGAGTTATTGAATGGCGAGAGGACTGCTCAGTTGCATGCGAATTATTATGTGAATTTTGTATACCATTTAATTGAGATGATTGTACCGATGACGCAGGATAAGTGTTTGATCGTTGAGTTGGTACAGATGAGCGGACCGGTGGTAATTGTGCCGGTTGATGCCGGATATGTGAATTATTTGTAAGTGATGGTTGTAATGGAGGTAATTGATTTGCCATGGGAGACTGCACCGATATTTGATTTGTGTGTGATTGATGTGTTAAGGGTGGCCGAATCGGTGGTATATTATTATTTGATCGAGGTGGGTAAGTTGATGACCGCATTGGTGTTTGATGCGGCACCGACTGATATGTAACGTGTTTTTGAGAAGATTGTTGATTTAGTGGTCGAGTATTCATACGATATGTTGTGTTTATCTCATGTGAAGAGGTCGAAGTATATTGACTCGTAGGACGAGGATTTATACGATATGTTTCTGTCTCATTATTTGAAGATGTGGAAGAGGTTTGATTTGGTGGACGAGTGTTCATACGATATGTGTCTTTTTCATATGATAAAGAAACTGAAGTAGATTGAAATGATGGTCGAGTCTTTAATTTATCTGTCTCTTGAATTGATGAAGACTGACGTGAATGTGATTGAAATGTATTTTGATCATGTGATAATGTTACAATAGATGATGTAGGGGGTGGTGGTAAATTTTGTTGTGGTAATGTTGAATATGAAAAAGAGGATGGTAACGATTTTAATTCAATCATATGTGATGATGATGATGATGATGCTGATGATGATGACGTTGTTGATGACTGAGCAGTATAAGATGACGAGGAATTAAATGATTGTGATGATTCATATTTTTGATGATGATTTAATTGAACTATTGATGATGGTGGTGGTGGTGCTTGTGATGACGGCATTCCCAAAGAGTGAGCTTGAGGAGGAGGAGGAGGAGGCAGTGGATGTGTAGTTACAATCTTTGCGCAATCGAAATGAAGGGGGTTCTTGGTGCACTCACCGCCGTGTTTGCCATTCTATAAAGGAGGAAAGAAATCGATATGAGTTAACGTCTGAGCCGAGAAAGAGTGCTGAAGGTGGAGAGGTTGAAAACTATCCCACGTGTTAAGACAAGATTATTCATCGTACCCTTCTTTCTTTTATAATTTTTGGGCGCGTCACGTAGTTATCAAGCATGATATCTACGGCGTCTAATAATTAAATAGAAGAGAGAATTGTGATAAACAAAGAATAATAATGATAAAAAGATTATATAAAATAATATTGATATCTAAAGCTGAGGGAAACTCTTTTAACATAAATTTATTTATATTTACCAGCCACTTGAAGAATATCAGCATTAACAATTGACCACCATGTTTGTCCTTGCGAAGGATCGTCATTTAATCGTACATTTGATAATTTTGCCGCGATGTAAATTGCTGCACTTGCTATTACATTTGGTCTGTGTCGTAAACACAAAGGTGTACGCAGACTGTTTAATACACAAAAGAATTTACGATATAAGTTGAAATTTTAACATATTGTGAAAACAACAATAAGAACATAATTAGCACCTGTCATTGACAATAGCCCATGCACTCTGTGCAAGCTTTTTTGCACCATCCTTTTCAAGGATGTTTTTATCATCTAATATATACGAATTAATTAATAATCGAAAATGAAGAGTTTATAACGAATATAGCTAATACTCACTCTTAAGTTCCCTTGCGTATTTTAGAAGCATCCGATACGGATGTTCGATGTGCAAGTCAAACTCTAGCGCTCCAAGGAGAAAAGGTTCATTTTTATTGATTGTGTGTCTCCATTTCGCGAATTCCTAATGATGAAAAATTCATAATTATATATATTTTATTACGACTATTATCATCGTCGTCATCAGGCTTTCAATCCAAACACGATAGATAGATACTACTGAGATAATCTTACTGCTGGATCTTCTAACGCTGAATTCTTTTGTGCTTTCTTTGCACAGATACGAGCCACGTCATCCATTTTTCGACTGGTCTCTTCTGTCTTGCAGGCCTCAAATACACAAGTTCCCGCAATATCCTAATTAGGAGAAAGAATATATCCATGCACATTTAATAATGAAATCGTCGAATTTATACACCCCGCAACCAGATATGACTGACTTACATAGTGATGGAATTTTAGCAGACTTCGCCTCATATAGAATCTGTGCAAAAATGTTGCTGCAGTAGCTATCGTTATTTGTGGTCTATTAAAGGTTAAAGACTAATATTCTCTATTCATTCTCTCAATAATTTTCCAAGTATTATTAACTTCCATTCGCCCTCCTCCCACGCCACTTCCAACAGTCACAAAAAAGGATACAGTTTAAGATCAAAACAAACATCCTGTATAAATTTAACTCCTTTAGCACGTCGCGTCCTCTCTTCGTCCATAGAAAGACCATCTTTTCGCGACGGCGTCAGGTCAAAGTCCGTGCCTTTAAAGTACCACTGACCTATTGCTCGTTCAGTCCACATTGTTTTTAGCGTTAACAGATTGGAAACGAGTAATAGCTCAAGTTGAAATTGTGTGTTTTTCGTTGATTATTTATAGTGAGTGTTCCAGTGAAAAAAATGACGTCTTGTGTGTAGTATGAAAATAGGCTGGTAATAAAGAAAATATCAAAATCTCAAATAATAATAATATTGGATCAAGTTCCAATTTTTGGTATTATTACTCATCTACTCATCTCATCCGAATAAAAGGGTATACAGTGGCCTGCAAAAATAACGCACCACTTACATTGTTAATCATTAATCACCTGATTCTCACTCACATGCAATC